ACACGAGTCTACTTAGCCGCAGAGTTGTAACATAAAAACTGTTACAGCGCGGAAATAAAAGTTATTCCCTCATACTCGTATAGTGGGATAACACGGTTCGGGGCGAACGCGCGAGTTTTTGTCAGATTTTTGCGGAAAGCTCCAAATCTGTTGTATTAGTGAAGCAATTTGTCGCCGCGCGGCTCGCTCGCGAACTTTTCTAATCTAAACTGCTGGGTCGCGTTCAATCTTCGTGAAAACTCCTTCACTGTCCGCTCATACTGCCGGACATAGATAAAGCTCGATTGTGCTTTCCACTATCTCGCATTTTCTTTTAAGACCGCCATTATGTCTTCTTGTAATGGGGAATTGAAGAAATCCTAGTTTGTTAATTGTAAGCGTTATTTCTAAAGCGACTCTTTTTAGATTGTCTGTAGTGTACGCGAGTAGTACACATTTAAATAAAACACTTTAACGGTTTAAAACGCGAAATATATTAGTTAAACTTATTATTAAATTATCTTTGATAACTGCTCGACATTTCAAATGCTTTGTAGCAGTTGTGACACTAAAGATGGAGGGTGACTCTAATGTCAAAGTAAAAAGATTTATTCGGGTAGCAATTCACTATTCTTATTATACATAATTTCCTATAAGAAAAGGTGAGTCCCAGAGGTGGGAATTATTTATACTTTATCATATATACAGGTTGATAATTGCTTTAATATCAAAATCATTGTTATCCAAAGTTTGAACCAATAATACCTCGGGCTTTATTCAACGCGTTTACTTATTAACCCACGGTCATACAGAAGTAAAATTAGAAGGGTTATAATCACCCCGCGTCAGACTCGAATTCCGCTAAAGGTCTCTTGTCAGGCCCGTTTCCAGTGACACGGTCCTAATTTTGACATATGCATTTTTATTACATGTTTCATTTCGCAGTGAAAAGTGAATTTTATTATTCACGAAAGGGTCGTGGTCCCTTCGAGTTTTGATGTACTTTTTATATTTCCGTAACGCAAGTGCGACTCATTTTTCAATTTTTCGCTTATTCATTGTGACTTTCGACGTAATTGAATCTTGTCTCGAATGCGAATGCTGTTTGTAAGGCCTCTAAGAACACTTAATAGAGGTTTCCGCAGACTTTAAAAGTATAAAGGGTAATTTGGTTACAGCAACGTGGGACAGTAATACATATTTCTGTGTCAGTTTAACAGATCGCTTGTATTTAGACTTTTAATATAGCCATAATTATGTAAAATAATCACTTAAATAAATGAAAACCTTTGTTTATAATTTTAAAAAATATTATTTTTTCTTACTTTTATTGTAGTTTGTAAACTTGTAAAATATTGTCTATAGTTTACGCGGTAGTACATATTTAAATAAAACATTTTAACGGCAAAGTATCCGAAAGGTCGGGCCGAAGTTAAAAATCATTTTCAAATCATTTTAAAACACGTAATTAAAAAATACATTTTATTTTCTTAGTGATGTTCAGTAACAAATTTGTAGACTCTTCTTTGTTTGCCAGTTTCCCAAAATCAGTTTGTTCGTTTAAAGTGAAATCAGTACTTTTATATTTTACATTTTTCTTACGATATATTTTTGTTCCTGCCTTTATTCTAAATAAATATATAACATTAATACGAATGCATGTTTCCACTTCGTTTGTGGCTTGAAATGGGCAATTTCCATTGTTTCCACGTCGATTTAAAATGGGTCATTAAGACGAAAACCTTGTGCTATCCTGCCGACTTCAATCGTAAAGCTTTTAGAGGGTTTTTTACTAGTTAAAGCATATAAAATAACTCGTAAAGCAACGCTATTACTCATAATATCTTTATATATCTAGGTAAAATATCTTAAGATTTCAACGCATTCAAACCGATGTAAATTTAGAGCCATGTTAAAGTAAAAATTGTAAGCAAACTAAACTCAATTCGGCGGTGTATTTGCTTTTAATTAAACTAAATGCAAATATTTCCAGTTTTAGAGTTTTTGAATCCATACTTTAAAATTAGGTCGAACTAACTTTGCGTACGGTTATTTTTAACTTTAACGACGGGCGAGTTGTTTCAAGTATTTTAACGAATACGTAAATAATTAAAAATAGAACCAATTTTGATTGACGTATGATAAGACACATTTCAGTGTCCATTCTAATGTTCAAACCGTGCATTAAATTGATAGGCAAGCAAGGCTGTGTGTGTGTGCTTTTGTTTTTCAGGGAGAGTACAATGTCTACACAATTATTTCCTAAATAAGGGGTTACCATTCGCATTAAAAAAAAAAATTAGAAACTTTCCGGTACAAAATCCACGAACCGTCGTACAATGCTATCAAAATGTGATATATATAAAGATGGTATTATGGTGTGACCTCCTAATTTGTAACGTGGGTCTAATGCGTCACAGGTGTAGCATACTGAACGATGACAGCCACGCTAATTGTTTCGTGTTCGCGCAAACAAATTAATGTTGGGTGTAACTTCCTGCTATTATAAACACTGGTGCGGCGACAAAATTCACTTTAACCAAACCGTAGAGCCCCATGAGGGATTTCGGTTAGTTCAAGAACTTACCTGGCTATGAATAATGTATTATCCGTGGCTCTAATACATTTACTATACACAATTTGGTAAATATGGGCATCGAGTTCAAATGTATACTATACTACTATTATAAAGGTGAAGAGTTTGTTTATTTGGCTAAATGCGTACGTGTAGGTTAGAGTATTTATCGAGGAAAGCTTTAAGCTATAAAACATCATACTGTGATCAGTAGGAGAGGAGATATAGAGGGAAATGTGAATCGAAACGGTAAAAACTACTATTATTTGTGGACATCAGTTGTATGGGCTGCGAAAACGATTCATGAGACAAATTTTCTTTTCTTTTTTTTTAATTTCTTTTCTTTAAGTGATCCACTACGATGTCCGTGTTACTTAATTAATATTTGTAATATCCACAGATTCGATAAAACAAGTCAATTGTGGAAATATAAAGTGTAGCATTCAATTTAGTTACTAATGCTTCGAGCGTAAGCGTGTGAGTTCGATTCTTGGCAAACCATATTAGTTACCTTTTGTGGATTATTATTTTATTTGTTAGAATGTTGATGTTATGCGTATTAGGTGGTGTCTATGAAATCCTTATGTAATTTCTTCTTACGTTAGTTGGTAACCTTCCAGAAAAAAGCCGAGTAATCAAGTTTGAATTAAGTCCAAGGTCCGAACTTACATGACGGCCTTTAGAAAAGTTTTTCGGTTAAGATGTGGGAAACTAAAGTGCTGATAACGAGCAACTTCAAAAGTTACGTGATCCTTTTGAATCAACTTATTACGACTACATTCATTTCACTTTGGGAAAACTGGAGCGTTCTCTAACGCATCGAAATTAAAAATGAAGTTCAAAAGTAAGACAAAAAGCATTTAATATGTACTAATCAAAGAATATATATAAATATTTTGTATACCTATAAGGTTGTGCTAAAACGCTAATCTCTAAAGGTACGGTCAAAGGTCATCAATGGATTCAGCTTAGCGAAGAATAGTTTTGTTTCCTCCGCGTGTTATACATTTAAAATGAAACTGAATTAATAAACTAGCTCTATAACTACTATTTAGATTTTTATGTATAGGATTCATTTTTATAAATAACAAGTTTCTCTCAGCTGTTGTCAAGTAGAATTTAATGTACTTAAGAGACAGATCTTTCGATAAAATACTTCTGATTTTATTCTTTTCTTGTTAAAAAAAGGCATTAGTACGTATTAGAATCCTTCTTTTAACGTCACATATCTGTTTAAACTCCATTACTGCGAAAAAGACAACTGTAATCATTTAAATAAAACACTTTAACGGTTTAAAACGCGATCTATTAGTTAAACTTATTATAATATTTATAATAGTTCAAATAAGTTTAACAAATATATCGTGTTTTAAACCGTTAAAGTGTTTTATTTAAATGTGTACTACTCGCGTAAACTATAGACAGTATTACACTGTAATCATTCCAAATTTAACTAAGACTCGACGTTTTGGTTGTTGTCCATCCAAAGCATTAGATAATAGTTCAAATTAGCAAGTGTTTAAAACCGTTAAAAATGATTTATGTTATACATGATATGTATATTTCTACTTCATAGTTCAAACGGAAGTATAAAATTTCAAAAATTTTATGACACGTGCGGGACATGAACCGCCATTCACACTGTTCTGTGCGGTTGCTCTAACCGTACCCTACTACGGTACGGCACAGGATTTATACATACGTATGTGCCAATGTGAATTTACTTATAGGATAAACCCGCGGACAGATGTGGATAATTAATCATACCACAATCTATGAGATCCTGACAGGTATTGGATTGTGATGACACGCGGTCAGAACTCAGCTAATAAATAGCGCAATTGGGAATAAATACACCAACTCGTAAAATTAACCTATCAAGTTGGACATTTTAAATTATAATGTTATGACTTTTGTTTAATGAAATATAAACGAGCTACTGTGACACCAATGCAACATTTTCAAATTGTATATATACAATTAAAATCATAAGAACTTCTTATTACCCACATTACCACCACATAAATAACAAGTCATTTTTAGTAATTAATAGTTGTCTATCGCCAACTAATAATTCATAAGTGTTATCTATACTTAAACATACTTATCTTAACATGATCAAAATGGATACTGCTATGGCGCGTAAGAAGCTAACACACATCTCAAATATACTATTATATATATAGATTTAACACAATAATATAAACGCACTCATGGCTGAATGGTTAACTGTGGAGGCGAATACTAGGTAAACATTGGAGTCTTCGTTGGTGCAGAGAAGTCTAATCTGCTGGTCTGTAAATACGGACCCTAAAATGTGTCTGTACTATAACAGTCACTTAGAAACCGGACTATCATGTTAACATTTGAATTTTAATTTTAACCTGGCCTTAAATTTTAAACACGTAAGTCATAAAAGATAGAAGGCACTTCTCGACAAATTAAACTAATACATCTCTTCTAGGGAAGTCAAATAAGGCTCCTGCACTTCTGAATTATCCACATGCCGCTTTCTAAACACCGACGCAATCAACGTCGCTTCCTCAGTGGGCACACTCGTTTCCCTTTTTCCTTGTACCTTTTTATTTTTCTTATTTGTTTTTCTTTTCGAAGCCGTCAGAATTAAATCAGCTTCGGGCGATTCGCAGGGTAGTGATTTTTGTATGCTGTAAACTTGGCACGTTGTTGACGAAGTTTTTGTACCGTTCGGCTGATCTGGCGTTAATTGTGTGTTCGATTCTTTTACCTTTAGCGCGTATATCTCACCATTTTCATTATACTTTATAACCGAGACGGACTTCTTTGTCTTGCTTTTCTTTGATTTCTTCTCAATTTTGGGCACGCTCTCGAATCGTACACTCCTTCTATCTCTTACAATGTTTTCTTGGATTGTACGAATGCTATCGTTCATGTCGCCCCTTATTTGTGATGCGTTAACATGATTTACTTTATGTGCCTTCACTACTCTTTCCATACAATTAACACAGCCTTTACAAGAGATGTCGGTAAATACCGCCTGCAATTCGCTCGCTTTAATACTGTTAGCTTGTGACATAATATTTTTCTCAAACTGTATTTTCTTCTTCGGACTCATCGTTTCGTAACTCGGTTCGTAATACGAGTCAATATTTCCTATTTCAATCAAAATAAAACAATTAATTATTTTGCAATTATTTACATCTACTTGCTGGTTTTACGTATTGATAATAATCATTAGGTCTCCACGTTTAAATTATAATCTAAAGCCAAAATAGTTCAGCACATCTTGTTTCAATACTATATGCTACACCTCATTATATATTCAGTGAATCTCATATTTGCCATCGTTTATCAGGCACATTTGTTATTTAAATAAAGCACTTTAACGGTTTTAAACGCGATATACATTAATTAAAATTATTTGAATTTTTATTTTAACTACGTTCCGACGTTTCAGATGCCTTGCAGTAGCCGCGGTGGTTCAAATAAGTTTAATTAAAATATATCGCGTTTTAAACCGTTGAAATGTTTTATTTAAATGTGTACTAGTCGCGTAAACTACAGACAGTATCAAACATTGTTTTAATTACAACCAAGCTATGTATTATGAAAATGAGATAAGTAAGCTTGAATGTTAGACTTTAATTAAGCAGATATAGGGTAAGGTAAATCCTTCTCACCTTTCGCTTGGGGCACGAGTGTTAGAAATGCACACAGAAGTAGCGGACTCATTAGTTCCATTTGCCCCACGAAGGTATCTTTCAGTCGTTGTTTGCGTAGCACAATACTTTCGAATTACGAGTAAATCTTGAATTATCTTTCTAGGGGATTATGACACGTCTTCCGTCTACAGTAGCAGGGCTTATATAGACCAGGTAGTAAACGTTATGTTATATATGGAAGCTATATTTATTGAAGTGGAAGTGTTTACTTGTTCGACAATCGAATGTTTGATTTCCTCCAGTCTCTGCGAGCTATTGTCAACGTGTTTATATGTTTATGCAGAGACCGATAACTGGACAGTGGCATCCGTGCGATAAGTTACAATGCTCGACGCAATTGCTTTGTGTTAAAGATGTATTACTGTTCGTAGTCAATACATTTCCAGTAACCGTTGGTTTATGTGAGCGGCATCTAATTTACATAAAAACTGATTTGCTGCAGTAGCAAGTCAATAACTTAAATTAAATCACGACTTAAATGTAAAATAAAGTAATTTGTATCTAAATAAAACATTTAAACGGTTTAAAACGACGTTTCAGATGCTTTGCAGTAGCCTCGGGGAAATACGTCGGGCCCTTGTTTAAATGGTTTGCAAATAAGTTTCAATAATATATTTCGCGTTTTTAACCGTGAAACTTTTTTATTTGAATTTGTATTCTGTTTATTATTGTTTGTCTCTTTATTTCTTAGTGACCCGACACTGTTTTACTAGTAAACGTCTATATTTGCGCTTTCAAAGCTACACTATTCAATGCTTATGAAGGAAATAGTTGACTTGGATAAGACAGTACAAAAGAGGTAATGAAGCGTCGCAGTTAGTTTTATCGACTATGATTATCCAGATAATTTATCTTACAAAGATGCTAAATTGATGTGCTTCAATGTACAAGTGTTCACGCAATAAATTGATGAAATCTTAATCCGTTCATTGTTTATTAACAAATATATACACTTTTCGTCGTATTAAACCTCCTAAAACAACTTTTAACCTGTTTTAAATAAGTTTAACTAGTATATCGCGTTTTAAACCGTTAAAGTGTTTTATATAAACTTTTAACCTGATAAAATTAATGATGTCATGAAAACCGACCAAGTCAAACGTAAGCTTCTTTAGGATCTAACATTTTTTTAAATAACTGTAACTGTTATACATATTCTATATGGCAAAGACGCCGTCAAAATGTTCCTTTTATAAGCTTATTAAGAGTGCTACCGTAGTGTTCATAGTAATATTTTGCAGAGAACTTGGCACACATTTATGTCTCCGTTTTTTTCTCATAAAAACGGAGACATAAATTAGACATTAAATATAGACATAAAATAATGTCTATCTATATAGATAGACATTATTTTTTCTTTTGAGCTTGACTCTCCTATTTTACATTTATTTTTTTGGTACGATAAGGGGATTGAATTGCTTAAAATTCAAAAGTCTGACTTTATAGTCGAATTAAAATAAGGATATAAATGTTTAAATATCAGTTATACGTCGTTTCCACCAGCTCCGTGCTGTAACCGTTTTTCGCGAATTCAGATAAAAATGTTACGTGGCATTAAATTAAATGAATTTCCCCAGGCCAAACTAGCGGGTCCCGCCGGCGTGGGCTCATTTCGCTTATCAACCGTTTTCATGCGTACCCACTTATCTTGCTGTCGTACATTCTTTTAAAGAATAAAATATGCGCCAGCTATAATTTTGCTCGTGTAGTTTGATTGGTGGTGTTTATTGCATCGGGGTATGTTTAGAACAGGGTATGTTAAATAAGTTTATTTATTAAATTCTGTCTGTTGTTTACGCGAGTAAACATTTAAATAAAACACTAACCAAAAATCAGCTTATTGGAATCAATCCATTCTGCAAGGACCCGGTCATTTTCGCCTAATACCATATGACGGAACAGATGGCGCTGGCGTAGTAGTTTTTACTTTGACATCAGAGACACCCTTCATCTTTGGTCTGTAGATCTCTCCATGACTACGGCTGCTGTGGTCACGAGGAGATCATCTTATATATAACTTTGCTATAAATAAACTTTTAAATAAAACATTTTAACGGTTTAAAACGCGATTAATTAAACTTTTTTAGAAATCATTTTAACTACGGGCCGACTTTTCGGATGCATTGCAGCGGCCGCATATCCGTGGCCACGGTACTACTCGCGTAAACTACAAACAGCATTTACCTAACAAATCTCCTAATAATGTATTCGTATATATATTTTGTAGTTTACGCAAGCAATGTTAAGCGGTACATACCACATTTGCTTGAAGTCTTATTTGCCAACGTTTTATTTACGTCATTTTTCTACGTCTCAGTTCATACTGATCACGGAAACAGAACTGGAAATGTAGCCCTTTATTTTTCCTCCGCTGCCTGCATCTCGCTCTTAATACTAAAGAAACCAAAATAAAGTTTCTCCCGGGATACCTATAAATTATTTTCTCATTTTATCGGGTGGCGTCAGGTCATTTGTTTGTCTTAGAGTGAAGTACGCGGGCCCCGGCAGCCATTTGTACAGACGCAGTACGCTTCTGACGGGAAATCAGCTCGCTTTCAATGCATTTTTAAAGCGAACCAAAACGAACGCGTCAAAATTCTCCTTTTATAAGCTTTAAACGTGCTATCATTGTTTATTTTGCAGAACGTAAAGCATCAACGTCATAACAGACGTTTTACGGTTTTTATTTTGGTTGGCTTTTCATTAAGCTGTAGCATAAACGGATGTTTGCCTTGAAAGTCAAAAGGCATTCACGATGAACGGGATCTAACAAATCATTTCATTATTTTTTCGTTATTGCATTTGGGAAATGAAATTCCTTGGTTTAATAAATGATGTGTCTTTTCAAATTGATCGCGGAGGTAATTCATTAATTGAATTTTAGTAGAAATAAAGGCAGGCTATTACAAACTATATAGAAGGATCAAAGTTTTAATGTAAAGGTACTTTGAATTCAGCTTAAACTGACGAACATATTTAAAACTGTATGCACTTACATAAAATATTAAGTTTACGTAATTAAATTAAACGTTAATTGTAACTCCGTATATTTGTTGAATTCGTGTTCGTTAAAGTGGAGAAAAGTTGGTAATGACCTACTTTTTAATGATATGTAGTATCGCTTGTCGCAGAATATCTAGGTTTATTAAAATGTCAAGTGTGCCGGTAGGTTTTTAGTTAAAACTTTTCCGTTATACATAAATATGTTAAACGTTGATATTAATTATAATTATTATTATTTACAATTACTTTAATTATTAATGAGAGAGTTTAATTAAATGTGTTTAATATAATAAAGTAATTCAATGTAACATTTTAATCAACGTCAATCAATGTGATGTACCCGTATATTAATAAAATAATGTAATTTGCAAATTATGTTACGAAAGCAAATATTGGTACACAATAAAATTGTTTTTTAACAATAATTCGAATTGAGATAGCGCATCTTGTCACTTACCGTCAAGTGAAAACATGCCTGTCCTTCTCTATCATTAAAGAAAGCTTAGGCCTATATAGCAAACGTAGAACGTCCATAATATACTGATAACTAAGATAGACATCCATCAGTTTCCGGGGATTCCCCGAAAATCAATTGTAGTGCTATTCTGGAATAGTAATCGTCCTCCATCAGTGGAACAGAGGGATAAATTTGAAACGTCGTTTTGCTAAACATGCTTTCTCTGTGATAGAGTAGTCAGAGGGCGCCACGGTCGACATTTGACATTTTCATTTTCACAATGCACGCGGTAAGCCTTGGTATACCTACATACGTCGAGGTTAACTCCACAAGTTAAATTGTAGCGTATTAGTTTGACGAATATCTCTATATACTAAATATATGAATAGTATACTTAGGAGGGATTTAAAATTCAAACTTAAGAATGAATACAAAACGTTAAAAATTGTAATAACACAGTTCACGATGGTTAAACACTAACTAACATAACTACTATATACGTATGTGACGACATCTTAATCTTTTGATTTATAATTTAAAGTTTTTTATGATATATTCTTTATTCTATAAATATTTTGGATGACTTGCTTAAAGGAAAGTCCAATTAGATTGGTGAAACGCTGTGTGCATTAAGCTGAAACCAACAGAAGCGAAGAATAGAGAAATATAGTAAAAGCGGAAAGAAATATTAAACTCAAACGGTTTACGAATCTAAAAATTATATATAAAACAACATTTTTTTTAAAATGATATAAAAAAATTCTAGAACAATCTTTTAAGACCTACTTGCAAGAATGACGGGACGCGGTCGATGTCATGAGTCATATCCAGTTAGCATATATGGCAACTCTATTTTAACATTGAATTAATAATATGATGCTCAACATAACTATTTCATGCGGACGAAGTCACATTGGGCTACATAATATATAC